CCGGCTTTCACATCTAAGGTGGGACTAGAATTTACAGTCTCCTGGTGATGGGTCTAAAGTTACCCAGCCGGCTTTCGCATCTAAGGTGGGACTAGAACTCACAATCTCCTGGTGATTGTTCCAAAGTTACCCAGCCAGCTTTCATATCTAAGGTGGGACTAGAACTCACAGTCTCCCTGTGATAGTTCCAAAGTTACCCAGCCAGCTTTCACATCTAAGGTGGGACTAGAATTTACAGTCTCCTGGTGATGGGTCTAAAGTTACCCAGCCGGCTTTCATATCTAAGGTGGGACTAGGACTCACAGTCTCCTGGTGATTGGACCAAAGTTACTCAGCCAGAATTCATGACTAAGGTGAACTAGAACTCAGGGTCTCCTGGTCACCAGCCCAAAGTCACCCAGCCTGCTTTCATACCTTAGTCAGGACTAGAACTCACTGTCTCCTGCTTTGTAGCTTGGTGCCTTAACTACTTGATCAAGGGTCAGCAACCTGTGGCTCTGGAGCCGCATGTGGCTCTTTCACCCCTCGGCTGCGGCTCCCTGTCACTCAAAATATGTGTCACAGTCGCCAAAGTGTGACACCTGCCGGCACTCGATTTATTGAGCTTTTCAACCCCCAGTAGGCCAACTATGGATTAAATCCAAGAAAAGAAAAGTTTCAGAAGAAAAGAGAACGTTGAATTCAACTACATATGCTAGTTTTGTGTCCGCTCAAAAAATAGTCAGGCACGGAAAGGGTTTTGTGGTTCCCGGTGTTTTCTTTTCTGTGGGAAATGGTCCAAATGGCTCTTTGAGTGTTTAAGGTTGCAGACCCCTGTCCTAGAGCAAACTTTTCCTTCTCATTGGTGGATTGTCAAGTTTCGAGGTCGTCTCGAATAAAATGCATTTCAAACAAAATCTTTGAAGAAAAAACTCCTATTTATTGAGCACGACATCCTAACATGACTTCATACGAAGCCAACACTGACTTCCAGCCCCCAAACCCTCCCTTTCCGTTACCCACTCCCCTGCACTCATTGGCCATCTTCCAAGTCATTCTACCCCTAATCTACTCCAGCTCAAAGGAATTCCCCCCTCCCATCTCATCTCCTCGGAAACATTATCTCCAGGGAAAATAAGTAGGTGAAAAGTCAAACGTCCCTTTCCAGACGCCTCCGCTTCTCCTTCTTATGTCAGCACTGGAGTAAATGCAGGTGGAAGTGCTGACATCGATTTGTGATGGTCGACCTTGTTTGACACATTTTGTAGAGGGCATTAGGTGGGGTGTTGACCAAAGGTGCAAAATGAATAGGCTGGGATTTTGATAGAGCAATGTAATGATCGCACGTCAAGGGATGTGTGATTGGATTACACACCTTAACAACACTTAAATATTACTGGTGGCAAATAAATGTTGAACTTCCTTCTTGGGGCCTGCTATGGATAAAGTCAGAGTCCCCAAAGGCTAGATCTTACTTTGTTGGACTCATTGTGGTACTTGCTGTTCAGGTATGGATTTTTAGAGCCAAGTTAGATACAAGAATCCATGAACTTGACTGATCTTGAAAAGCTAAATAAAGTTGGACCTCATTAACGTTTGCGTGGGAGTCCACCAAGGTTGTGGATTGCTAAACTAAAAGGAGATTCCATATACGGAAAGGACAATTTTATAGCTTGAGGTTGAACTGTGAGGTCCTTGGTGCTCTCTGAGCTTGGTTGCTTTCCTTGCAGATGTTTCATTACCCAACTAGGCGATATCCCTGATGATATTACCTAGTTGGGTAATGAAATGTCTGCATGAAAACAACCAAGCTTAGAGAGCACCGGGGACTCTATAGTCATCCTCTTCCTCCTCCTCTCCACACCCTCCTTACCACTGTTGATGTTAACCTAGTTGTGCAATGAAACATCTGCAACAAAACAACCGAGCTCCGAGCGGACCAAAGACCCCAGAAATCGGGGGTGAAATCTACTTACCTTCCCTACCAGTTTAGAAATGCGCACACGCGAATCACATGCAATTTTGGACCCTTTGCACATGCGCAAAGTCTTCTGCACATGGGCAGAGCTTCAAAAACAGGTTCCTGGTTAAAACCAGGAGGTAACGATGTCCTGGCGGGTGGGCGGAGCCACTACCAGTTCTCCGAACCACACGCTGCCGCCGCCGCTACCAATTCGACCGAATCTGTGCGAACCGGTAGGATTTCAACCCTGCCAGAAATCCTGCAAGAGCAATCACATATTGATGATTGCTCTGGAGCCTACAAGGAGTCAACCAGAACTGAGAGGACCCCAAAAAGATGTTTATTTTTTATTTTTTAATTTGATTTATATGCCGCCCTTCTCCGGAGACTCAGGGCAGCTTACAATGTGCTCAGCAATAGCCTTCATCCTTTTTGTATATTTATACAAAGTCAGCTTATTGCCCCCACAACTGGGTCCTCAATTTACCTACCTTAGCAAGGATGGAAGGCTGAGTCAACCTTGAGCCTTGGCGAGATTCGAACCTGCAGTAATTGCAGGCAGCTGGTCTTAATAACCAGCTTAATAACAGTTTAAACAACTTATGGGGTCATCTCTTTCCAAATTAATTCCAACATTGGGAAAACACTCATTTTTGCTGCGAGAGGAAATTACGCTGATACATTTCAGGACAAATCCTAGCAGAGACAGTCTGATTCGGGGGGACATGTTCCTCAGCGAAGGCGTCAAGATTATTTTGGACCTTCCTTGGCAAAATATGTCAATTACCCACTTCTCCTAAAAATTTGTGACAATTCCTTTTAGTTTCAGCATCTGTGTCCATGGTGTGGAAGAGGAGATATCCTACTTGCTACAGCAAGATTAGTCATTTGCCCGGAGGGATTTATGAATGTAAAATTCCACTCTATGTTTGCTGAGTTAACAATATGACATTTTGAATAGAGTACAACTTTTCTAACAACCAGGGAGCGTTATCTTCCGTAGAATAAGTAGCAAAACTTGGGGCTTAGCTGTTTTTTGCTACGGTGAGAAAAAGACTTTTGGGCTGTAAGGACTAAAATAATAACTCTGTTAACAGATTAACAGAGTTGGAAGGGATCTTGTAGGTCATCTAGTCCAACCCCCTGCCCAATCAGGAGACCCTACACCATTTCTGACAAAAGGCAGTCCAATCTTTTCTTGAAAGCCTCCAGTGATGAAGCTCCCACAACTTCCGAAGGCAACTTCTGTTCCATTGGTTGATTGTTCTCATTGTCAGAAAATTCCTCCTTATTTCCAGGTTGAATCTCTTCTTGGTCGGTTTCCATCCATTATTCTTTTTCTGGCCTTCAGGTGCTTTGGAAAATAGATTGACCCCCCCCTCCTCTCTGTGGCAGCCCCTCAAATATTGGAAGACTGCTATCAGATCTCCCCTGGTCCTTCTCTTCACTAGACTAGCCATGCCGAGTTCCTGCAACTATTCATTGTATGTTTAAGCCTCCTGTCCCCTAATCAGGGGTGAAATCCGGCAGGTTCTGACAGGTTCTGGAGAACCGGTAGCGGAAATTTTGAGTAGTTCGGAGAACCGGCAAATACCTCCTCTGGCTGGTCCCAGAGTGGGGTGGGAATGGAGATTTTGCAATATCCTTCCCCCAGGAGTGGGAAGGGAATGGGGATTTTGCAGTATCCTTCCCCTGGAGTGGGGTGGGAATGGGTTTTTTGCAGTATCCTTCCCCTGCCATGCCCACCAAGCCACACGGTGCCCACCAAGCCCACAGAACCGGTAGTAAAAAAAAAATTGAATTTCACCACTGCCCCTAATCATCCTGGTTGCTCTTCTCTGCACTCTTTCTAGAGTCTCAACCTCTTTTTGATAGTGTGGTGACCAAAACTGGATGCAGTACTCTAGGTGTGGTCTTACTAAGGCTTTATAGAGTGGTATTAGTACCTCCCTTGATCTTGATTGTATTCCTTAAGAAAAGTTTAGAAAGCCATTTATCTGATATGATATAGAGCTGTGATAGTGAACCTATGGCAAGCATGCTGGAAGTGGCACGCAGAGCCATCTCTCCGAGCACACGAGCTGTTGCCTGTTGCTCTTTTGGATTCTGGCATGCTGGCCAGCTGGTCTTCACACGCATGGGAGTGCCGGAAACCGGAAGTGCAGCCACCCGGTGCGCGCGCATGCACTGGGAAGATGATCTTCCAGTTTCTGGCACGCGCATGTGCACCAGCCACCTGGTCTTCCGCTTCCTGGTGTGCATGCGTGTGCGAAGACCAGCTGGACAGTGCGCATAACCTGTTCTGCCCCAGCTACGGACCCCAAAGAATGCAGCACACACAAAGTTTGTACAAAACTGAATTTACTAAAATAACTCAGTCTTTTTCAAAACAAAGGCTGTTAATAAACTTTCTTAACAGCCTACAAGAAACCAAAGATAAAGTAATCACAATCTTACGAAGGTTGGCAGAAAGCCCAGAAGCAATTTGCAGAGAATCCAGACGCGAAGGAGAGCGAACTAAAGTTGTTCCCTACAAATTGCTTCAGTTGGCGTTCCTCCTTAAATAGGCTGAGGGAGTGGCCAATTAGCCCCAAGCCTTACTCTCGAGGAGACCTCCTCCTGAGGAGCCACTCCTGCCTTTTGGCAGTTCTGCGCGCCCGTGCATCGAGAAGAAGCTCCTCCTCTTCTTCCTCTTCACTTAAGGGAGCTTCTGGAGGTTCTGAAGGCCCTGGCTGAATCCCCGCCTCTGGCACCACATCTTCTCCAGCCTCCTCATTGTCCGACTCGAGTGCCAGCTGCAAAGGCTGCTGGCACAACACCACACCAGCCTCCTCGCTGTCAGAATCAGCTACAATCAGCACAGGCCACTGACGGGCCACAAGAGAGTGTGGGATTGTTGGACTAGAAGACCTCCAAGGTCCCCTCTAACTCTGTTGTTCTGTCATTTCTGTTATGGGTGAAGAAGAACTGCTAAGAGCCATTTTTTTTAAAAAATAAAAATGTTATATTCTGTTGCATTGATCAATTTCTAAACTCTGTCTTTTTTGTTCCTTAACAGTCGTCGTCAACCTGGAAATTCCCTGGGCTTTAACGGCGAGAAGGTGGATTTAGTTCTAAAGCTATGGTAAGCAAAGGTTGACCCCCAAAATGGTATTGATGCTGACATTTTGATTATTAACTTGGTCCTCATCCTAGTGCTTCCTTAACTAGATGACTTTTGTGGATTTCCACCCCCCTCTCTCAAATGTACTTGCGTGGTGGAACTCATACTTTAGATGGAGATTGTTGAATGTCTGAGGAGATTCTCAGTCATCCAGGCCAAGGTTGTCTCAAAAGGCAACTTTTGTTTCCAAAAGGCAACTGGATTTTCTTGGTTGGTGTTTTTTTTCCCCCTTGAAAACATTTCACTTCTCATCCAAGAAGCTTCTTCGGTTTCTGACCGAATGGTGGAGAATGGAAGGATTTATATTCCTTGCAGTCATCTGTCAGCACTCTTTCCTGAATCTCCCTCTGCTAACGACCTGCGAGGAATATAAACCCTTCCGTTCCCCACCATTCAGTCAGAAACTGAAGAAGCTTCTTGGATGAGAAGTGAAATGTCTTCAAGGAAAACCCAAGAAAGACCAGGTGTCTCTTGAAAAAGCACCTTTGGGACAACCATGACTTGGATGACAGAGAATCTCCGTAGACAACACCAACAGGGCTTGACTGCAAATGTTTTATTTTGAATGAAACTTTCTTTCTTTCTTTCTTTTCCTTCCTTCCTTCCTCCTTTCCGTTTCGTTCCTTTCCCTTCCCTCTCCTTCCTCCTTTCTTTCTTTCTTTCTTTCTTTCTTTCTTTCTTTCTTTCTTTCTTTTCCTTCCTTCCTTCCTCCTCCTTTCCTTTCCTTTC